GAGGATTTGAAACTCGGGGCTACCGTGAAACAAATCCAAGTAGTGGCCAGGGCGGGACTTGAACCCGGTAGTGACGGACTGCAAGTCCGACACCCTGACCGCTCGACCATGCAGCCTTCATACATACACTAAATCCCCTGATGAATGGGCAACCACAAAACAGGTCTGTAAGGAAATATATCTAGTTGTTTTTTTCTGCCTACCACACATTATACTCGCTCTACTATTTGTATCGAACACTGTTTCACGGACACCAAGTTTAATCCCTCTACATACATACATACATACATACATACATAGTTATGAGAGCTTGGTGTCAGATCAAGATAACAATTTCTACATCATAAGGTTATGTATTCTCATTACCTATCTGCTGGATAGTGTAAGAAGATCATGTTGAGAAATAACATGTTAAGCACATCTGGCAGTTAAAGGGTTACTGGCGAGTATGTTTCAATATTGGTTGAAATTTGTCAAAATGCACTGGACTAGGGTAAAAAGTTAAGAACTTTCCTTCAGTTTTTCCCATTAAAATTGACTTAGAAATATTCAAAATCTTCTTTAAATATTCTCCAGTGTCAACATAGCATTTAAGAAGAGTTTCTAAAGAGTGAGAGATCAACCCTAAATTTGGGTTGTACAATTTAAGTTCTAATGCTAATTCTGAATTCATTACAAGGGGAGGGTACACATCGACTTGATTTTCAGTTTGTTTTGAGTCCAATAAGATGACAGGCTTGCACAATAGCTGGAAATTAGGAGGGGTTCATACAAGGCAGGGGCTGGAAGGCCACGGCATAAAGCTGAAAGGAGATGAATAAAGGACAAAGAAATATGCTTAAAGACTACACGAGGAAAAAAAATAGCATAAGGCTAAACTAGGAAAAGATGCATGATTTTTGTCTACAAATTAAGCCATGAAGTACTAATGTGATAAATTCAGCTCTTCCACTTTTAAAAACCAACCATTCCCTCCTTATTTTAAATTCAAATAACATTTGAACTTACCTGAAGAATTCAGAAAATGTTTGACTATGGAATTCATCCCTGCTGGTGCTGTGAAGTTTTTTATTCCTTCCTTTTTGTTTTCTCCTTCTATGATTCCATTAAATGGCACCAATACTTTTGCTAATATCAGTTCCTGATAGAAACTAAAGAAAAAAAAGTTTTAGTTTCAGAAATAATCACTTGACAAAGCTTTTGACGTCTTTTCCACATTTGTTCGACAAAATTTCTGACAACTTTCATGAGTAATTAGTTTCACATTGTACTTGCTGTCTGTTTGTTAAAAAAAAAAAACATGTGAAAGAGAGGAAGAACTTTTTTTGAGCACTACTGTAACACAGTCAACATAGTAACTACTGTAAATCCTCTAATAAGCTCCA